AGCACCTCCATTTCACCCATCCATACGGCCTATAACACCAGCTCACGTTCTCCTTATTTCCCTCAGCGGCCACAGGCACACCAAACTGTAGGAAAATCAAAAATCCACTGGACCACAGGCAGCTGGAGAGCCCAGAGCATTTCATGGCATCTGGCTCCACCAGAAAAAGCACACAACCCAGCACCAGGAGCCTCCAGGACATAAGCTCCCCACCCAAACGACATTTTACTTTTTAAAGAAGATAAACTCTGCCCTGATAGTAAACGACACCAAGAGTTACTGACCTACAGACTGGGAGTTAAAAGCAGCAACAATCTGAGGGCTGGCCATGGCCTCTAGTCGGTTCTTCAGAGCCTCAAGATGCACACACTTCTCAGAGTAATCCGGCGTATCCACAAGCATAGCCAGGCTGCTCTGCATGCTTGTGAGTTTGGATGAAATCACAGACACATCCTGCCACCAGGGAAAGGCATCCCAGTTACTGAACACGGCCTTAGAAAGCATTAATACCTGTTGCATAATGGCATTTTACAAATAGGTACATGTTTTAAAGTCATTTCAAAAATCTACTTTGAAACAGTTTCCTTGGAAAGCTGAAGGTGCAAAGACCAAAAAGAATAATGAGGTATCCACCTGTGTTTTAAGAGTCTCTTCAATGTCTGCACTTAACGTGCTCCATTTGTCTGCTTCCTGAAGCGACTCTGCAGCCAACTGCATTCTAGATTTCACTCGGTCAATCTCTACCAGGACCTGAAGGAAAAAGAAATATAATGTTGCCCATTGAAACAAAAGCTGACTGCCACAGATATATTATGGAAGTTATTTTTGGCTTGAATTAAAAAAAAAAAAAAAGTGTGAAAAGATCATGCCATTACAAAGAGGAAGGATTTGGTTGAAAGAGCTACAGATGTTAAACCAACTTCCAAAGTCAAACACAAAGGGTTAGTTTGAAATCTGGATTGTACTTTTAATATCCACTTTATCTCAAAAGTGGATACACGCCCCAGCTAACAGGGCAGAAACCTGGGCAGAAATTAGTGTCCCCAAACAGGTAACATCTACTCTGAAACATGATCAGCTGTTCCTCAGGAAATGCAGATTGCACTAGGCTGTGTCACGCCCACTTTTCTACTATTAATGCTTAAAGGGGTGGTTTTGTCTACCTTGAGTTCAGGAGATTGTTTAACACGAACAAGTCTGGAAACTCCAAAATTTCACAAGCTGCACGTAAACACTAAGTAAGACAAGAACCTGCCTGCATTGACTGAGCAGTGTCTTCTTCAAATTTCTTTATATCTTCTTTAACAAGGATCATTTGCTCCTTCAGGAATGTTGCCTCCTGTTTCAAGACTTCCACTTCCCGGAGGACCCTGGGCATGTTCTGGAGAGCCTGATGGCTCGTTTCTACAGAAACACCAAGCAGTACAGTCAGGAGAGCCTGAGAACCCTTGCAGGAAAGAGGGAATATAATCTTCAATACTTGGGGAAGAAAAACAAACAAACAACAAAGCAAAAAGGCGAACAACAAAACTTTAGGTGTATCTGTAAAGTTTAAATATGTACTTTATTATAGAGTCATAGAACCATTTAGGTTGGAAAAGGCCTTTAAGATCACCGAGTCCAACTGTTAACCTACCACCAGCAAGTTACCACTAAACCACGTCCTTAAGTGCCACATCTACATGTCATTTAAACACCTCCAGGGATGGTGACTCCACCCCTTCCCTGAGCTGCCTGTTCCGATTCCTGACAACCCTTTCAGGGAAGAATTTTTTCCCAATATCCAATCTAAACCTCCCCTAGCAGCTGTTTCTCTCTGTTTAGAGCGGGTCAGTCAGGATACAGAGATTATAGAAACACACCGGTCAGTGCTAGAGAGTGAGGAAAGGTTAATTAAAGTAATAAAACCCACATTGGATGCAAATGGACGCGTTTACAAGCCAGCAAAGGGTCAGGCCGCCCGACGATGGAGCCGGCCGGTAGCCCCCGCATCCCACCTCACCTTCCACCGCGTTGTTGACCTCCTGGATGAAGAGCTGCAGCTTCATCACCAAAGTAGCGGCGTGAGCGTCCACCTTCCCGGGGGCTTCCTGCTGCACGGCCCGGAAAGCCGCGTTCACCCAGCTCTTCACCTCAAAGTCATCCGACAGGAACCGGGAGAAATCCATCGCCGCCCGCGAAAGGGGACAAGGCCCCGCCGGGGAACAAGGCCCCACCACCACAGGCCGCGGCCTCCACCGGCGACCAGGAAACGCGTCCACAAGGCCCTTACCGGCCACCGTAGCCGCAGCGAGGAGGCGGCCACCGTTTAGCGGGGCCGGGC